ATTAACCTGGAGCAGGTCTCTCTTTTAACTCTGTCTTTAGTCTCCTCCCCCTTTAGTTGAAATGCACCATGTGTTCACACTTGACCAATCAGGAGTCAGCTGTCAATCATGAGGTCTCAGCCTGTATCATATCATCAGATAACTAATTAAACCAAACTGAAATACTTGAACAAACATCAGTGAGATAACAATGACCTGAAATGACTGAAATCATCTTTGACAAACATTTATTTAACATCTACTTTGATTTTTAATCAGTTAATGAGGAGACATTGATCCATGTCCCATCTGCTTGGAGGGGGTGGGATTTATGACCTATGCTGGAGCCAGACACCAGGGTCCGATCCAGATTCTTTAGCTTCACTTGTCGTCTTGTCGTCCATGTTTATTAACAGTCAAACCTGCAGTGTGTGTCTGTGTGTGTGCAGGTGAACTTTGTGGTGTGTCAGCTCTGTGCTCTGCTGTCGGCCTTCTGGTTTCGTCTCTTCCTCCATCCCAGTAAAACCAGTCCCTTCATCAGACACATGGTGGCGACTCTACTGGGACTCTACTTCGCTCTGTTCTGCTTTGGATGGTTAGTTCAATACTGTTCTGAACAGATACATTATCATCAGTGGAGAAATCTTTATTTATTTGCCAATTCTCATGTTTTTAACTTAAATGGTTTTTCGTAAAGTGACAGAGATCTGTTTTTTATGTTATAGAAATCAACCTGCCTGGTTTCGAAAACATCTTAAACATTTGTCTTCCGGCATTCACTGTAATTCATCAAACTGCAACCGGACTTTGAATTATCTTAAAGAAGATATTTCAAAGTCCTCCACAGAGGAGTGAAGTCAGACTGGGTCAGGGTCAGGGCTAACCCTAACTCTGACGCTGACCCTTTATGACCTCTGGAGAATGTCCAGAGAATTGGGTTTGGATTTTCTCTAGAGTTTATCTTTTACACATGAAAACACAGCAGGTGACTCTCTGCTCGTTCATACCAACACCAGAAATCTCCACAAAATTCAGGTTAGGAGTGGATGTAACATATTCATTCTGCAGCAGAGATCACATGGTTTGTATTAGTACATTATAACGGTGTCAGCTCTTATCACCGCAAACTCTCTTGACATCTTCTACGTACGTGTGTCTCGTTCTCGTGAGATTTTTTTCTTTTCTTTTTTTCATTTTTGTGTCTGTTGTGTGTTAGAAGCGTCATCACCCCCCACTCGTTCACTGTGAATCCTGCAGAGGATCCTCTGCTGTGTTCTTACATCAGCTCGTTCAGACATTATCCAGATTTTTTACAAGGAGGCAGGACAGAGAAAGTTTGGAGCCTCTTACTCTGACATTTTGTTCACACATGCAGCCCCTCCGGAGAATGTCGAGAGATGATCTGTAGTTCAGTGCAGGCCTGAAAGCAGCTGTAATCACATATTAAATGTAGAAGTTGGTGTTTTGCTCCATTGCTGCATTATATAACTTGTGCAGCGCTTTATTGCCATGTGCTTGCTCCTGCTATCATCCATAAAGATTTTAGTGTCCACATAGACAGACCTCATAGTTTCAGCTGTGTTTGTTTTCGTACCCATAAGTGGCATCATTGCAGTTTTCTTTAGTCTGTTTACTTGTCACTCAGAATATCTTGCCAGCGAGAGCGACTCTTGTCTATATACACGAGCACGCCCACTACCAGCAGATTTGATTTTGTTTTATTTTATTTTATTTTATCTTACTATAATTTTTACTATTGATATTTTGATCTATTGTGTGTTGCTGTCTTCCATGTTGTACCTTTTACTTTGTGAAGCACTTTGCTCAACCAATTTGTTTTAGATGTGCTTCATAAATAAAATTTACATTGACACTACATCATAGATTCAATTATTTCTGCAGAAAAAGTGCATCACAATTCCTGAATCCTCCCATTTATTCAGAGCTGCACCAAGACTTTATGAGTTCTTTTCTGACCAATACGATATCCTTCCACCAGGTTAACTGGAATTCTGTTCTGTAGGTTTTCTTGGTATTGTTTGTTTAGGAATCACAATTACACAAGAACAAAGAACAAACAGGTCACCAGTAGTAATACAATACAGCTGTTCTGTAGTTTTTATTTAATCCTGCTAACTAATTTACAAACGAAAACACAACCTCCTGGGAGGAAGTAACATCATAGAAAATACTTACATATTTTAGATTTAGTTTTAAGAGTTGAATCTTGGAGGTTTCCTGTGTTTTCCAGGTACGCACTTCACTTCCTGGTGCAGAGCGGACTCACCTACGGCATAATGATCCTGACTGGAGTCGAACACATGCACAAGTAAGTGTACGAAAGTCCACATATCACTGGTTCATTGTGTGTTTGTGATAAAAATCACAGCTTTAGATAAGAGCTAAATAAAGGGACAGATCATGTCCGATTTATGGATCCATGCTGAATGTCTCAGAAGAAGAAGAAGAAGGTGATTCCAGCTTCAAATCAGTCCAGAGTCAGATTTCCATTAGAAGTGAAGGAAGCTTTTTATGAGCGCTGACGTGCTGAGTCCTCTGGGACATTAGACATTGACTTTTGTTAAATTTACCTATATTCAGACATAAATGATTTCAAATTTGAATTTCAACATTTGCTGCATAATGTCTTGATTTTTTAAAACATTCTTTTTTTTTGACACCTGTTGTGAAATGAAGACAATAATTGCAAATTTCCCCGTTGTGAGACTAATAACGGTTTATTTGATCTTATCTTATTCTCATATTGTCACAGAAAGTTCACACAGAACATGCAGAAACAACTTTTGTTTAAGAAAAGAGAAATTAAAACACAGTAAATGATTTCTCCTCTAGCGCTACCCTCAGGACAAACCTTACATGTTCACCACTGTTTGATTTTCAGATATTGTCTCCTGGTGGCTCTCAGCTATCTGAGTCTATGTCAGATCACTCGAGTCTACGTCTTTGACTACGGCATGTACTCGGCTGACTTCACCGGGTAAGACTGATCCAGGGTCAGAATCTTCCTACTCCACCTTGAGGTGTTAACTTCACTGCTGCTCTTCTCTCTCCAGACCCATGATGGTGATCACACAGAAAATTACCAGCCTGGCATTTGAAATCCACGATGGTGAGCACGTCATCTTACACTTCCTGTTTACACCTGACACAAGTCGAGGCACGTCACCTGTCTGTCAGGTTCAGACTCTGTTACCGTCTATGTCACCACCGGTAAAAGGTCAAAGGTCCAATCATGACATCAGTCTGTCAAATAAAAAAGAAATGTGTCAACAACGAATAAATATGCAAAGGTTACTCCAGCTGCTCCTCGCGACGATCACTGATAGACCAAGGTCCCCGCCATTGACTGTTAATAAAGATGGACAACATGACAGCTCCCAAAAGTTAAGCCTGACTGATGATTGACTGACTTGTGATTGTTTGAGCGTGTGTATGGGTGGGACCTCAATACCGCGGCTTCACAACTTCACAACTTCACAGACTCCACAAGATGGCAGCATTTGTTCTGAGATATTGTGGCTTCATTTCTGCAGGAAGTGGAGACGTGTCAACTTCTTTATTTTGTGTCAGGGATCTGGTCACTGTGTCCAGTCTACTGCTCAGAGGACGTCTTATAACCTATGGTCCTGGTCACAGAACATCACCACCACCCGCTCGAAACGGAAATAACGTTCAGAGAAAACTGACCTGTTGCAGCTTGTCGAGCGTAAACACAGTAAACATTTATTTATTTATTTCTCCTTGGACAGGAATGGCTCGAAAAGAGGATCATCTGACCCCAGGACAGAAGATTTTGGCGATAAGGTTTGTGTCACTGTATGGTTCACACTTTTACCCTAAAGAACCAGAAACCACACCCCCATGATAAAAGTCAGATTCCAGTGCAGAAACCACACCCCCAGTTCAGAAACCACACCCCAACATAGATAAACTGCGGCCCAATGTAGAAAAACACACCCCCACTGTAGAATCCTCAGAGTGTGATTGTCTGGTGTCTCTGTGGGCGTGTCTTCAGAAGGTTTCCCAGTCTGCTGGAATACTTCAGCTACAACTGTAACTTCCTGGGGATCCTGGCTGGACCCACCTGCTCCTACAATGACTACATTGCCTTCATTGAGGGAGACCCCCGTCGCCACAGAGACCAGGGCGCTGACGGGAAGTCCAGTGTCAAGCGGAGGCAGAGCGAGCCCTCGCCAAATGTAGGTCATGTCATTCTGAGGAAAATCTTCCAGGACCAATGAAAATCATTGACACAGTGAGAACGAAAGTAGAATAATAGTGTTTGTTTCCTCAGACTGAGGTCGTCCGTAAAGTGACAACTTCCTTCTTCTGCCTCCTGGTCTTTCTGTTGGTGTGTAAAGTTTTCCCTGTGGAACGAAACATTGACGACGACTTCATCTCCAACACAACATTCTACTCTCAGGTGGTCTACCTGTACCTGTCCATGTTAACCACCAGACCCAAGTACTACTTTGTCTGGACACTGGGTGAGTGTGTATGCCTGTCTCACCTGTCCAACACCTGTCTGTCCTTCATTCTGCCACACCTGTCTAACACCTGTCTGTCATATCAGCTGATGCCATCAACAATGCGGCAGGTTTCGGTTTCAACGGTTACGACAGTGACGGTTCTCCTCGCTGGGACCTGATCTCCAACCTGAGGATCCTGAACATCGAGGTGAGGACGTTGGCTGATTTGTTGTGTTATTGTCTAATCATGGTATTGATTGATATTTATTGCCCTGCTTCTCCGTCCGAACACCTTGTCGGTCTCATTCCAGTTTGCCACCAGCTTCAAAGTTTTCCTCGACAACTGGAACATTCAGACGGCTCACTGGCTGAAAAGGTTTGAAATCGTTTATTCTACTGCCTCAGCGGTGACAGTAACCTCTACACCACCGCGCCCATTCACTATCTGCCAGAAATTGAACGATTGAGTGATTCAAGGTTCTTTACGAACCCAACACAGTCAGAGGTTTACTGTTGAAAGCTGCCACCTGCTGGCAGATATGTAACACTAACAGCCACAGAATAAAATGACCGTCTGCTGTTCAATTTAAACTTGATTTAAAAGTTCTGGATGTAAATAAACATTTTTAACATGCTGACTTGAAATAAACAGCTGCTGCTCTAATAATCCCGTAGATGGATTATTAAACATTATTCTCTCTAGTCAGCCTTTGTGTGTCTTTCTGGTTATGATGGTGTTTTGAGGGTTAAGGCAAGAGATTAAGGTCAAATCAATTTTCAAACAGATCGGGCCTTTGTGAATCTGATTCACTGATATTGTTTCATTAATCGGAATCAGAAGTACTTTATTAATGTATTTAATTAATTAATGTACATGTTGTGGAAAATCTGCTGATCAATGGTCAACTCATCAGTGAAGAAAGTGTTCAGGAGCCCTTTGACGTCTTATGCTGAAATATGTATTGAAGCTTGACCAAGGAGAAAATCAGAATTCATCAATACAACATCTGAGCATGATGCTCTCTCATATTCTGAAGTCTGCTTTCCTGCAGTCACACTTTAAACCCCGACAGATCATTTAATCTATGGTCTGCTAGTTCCTAAATAAACAAATGTAGTTTCTAGTTCTGGAGACAGTAGTGCCTGATTACGCAGTGTCATATCTGTGGTGTCTAGGGAGTGAAGCCTTAGACCTTCGCCAAGCTCTCGCACTTCCCCAAACACAGCAGCCTGTTGCACTATGCCCCAGAGAGAGGACAAGAGAAAGTGTCTCCGAAATTTCCATAACACATGTCAAATAAATGACCTTTATGCAATATATAAAATGTTAAAACTCTGTTTGTGTGTCTGGCCTCTGACTGACAGAGTGTGTTACGAGCGATGTCCCTACCACCCAACAGCAGCCACCTTCATCCTGTCAGCCATGTGGCATGGAGCGTATCCAGGTTACTACCTCACCTTCCTCACCGGCATCGTCATCACACTGGCTGCCAGAGCGGTGAGCGGTCCCAGCTAATGAAAGCTGATTCAATGCTAACAGTTCTGGGTTCATGCTAATTGATTTTTCCTCTCAGGTCAGACACAACGTTCGGCCGTACTTCCTTCAATCACCATCCCATAAACTGGTCTATGATGTCATCACATGGGCGGCCACTCAGATCGCCATTTGCTACACAGTGGTGCCTTTTGTCCTGTTGTCCGTTGGTCCATCAATAAAGTTTTACAGGTGAGTTTGTCACCATAGGTTTAAGTCAGGTGAACTTTATGTCTACATGTTCAATTAAGGCTATTCTTCTATCTTGTCATCCTTGACAGGTCGTGGTATTTCAGTCTCCATATTGGCTGTGTTCTGTTGGCTGTGGCATTGCCAGTGAAACGGAGACATCTCCACCTCAAAGACCGGCAGAGAAAAATCCCTCAGGAGCCACTTCAGCACCCCCTGGAGGCTATAGAAAGTAACTGCAGCCAGAAGGAAAGAAACACATGAGAGAGAGAGAGAGAGAGGAGAAAGAGCAATCGTGTAAAACATTATATTTCCATTCAGTTGTTTAGAAAGAGGAGGTGAGCCTCATCAAGCTGAGCTTCCTCCAGATTCTGCGATACAGAAACATGATGGTCAAGTAAAAATACTGTATTATTTAGACTCATGGGGCAAATGGATACAAAGAACAGGCCATGAAATTATTTTCTCATAAACGACTGCCAGGATAGCATCTATATGTACTGAACTATCATGGCCACCTAGGTAGTGTTACACTGACTCCATTTTGTTTGTGGTCAGAAAGCTACTGACTGTCCATCTGCAGGAAGGAATGAAGAAAAGGAGGAATAAGTGAAAGGATAATTTGGACAACAGTTGAACAAATGATTGTAGATGTTATATGAAAAAACAGAATGAAGAAGTGAAGAGTAAATTAGTTGAGTGAAAACGAGTCAGGTGATGGGATGAATGAGCAGGTCAGTGAGTTACTGCATCAATGAGTAAATGAAAGAAACTGATGAAAAGGATGTTTTCTCCTCTACATTGATCTAAACTGAAAGACAGTCATTGTCTCACCATCACAGTATTCAGACAAATCACTTTTGGAGAAAGTGCCAATGATTATTTTACTCACCTTTGCTCTTACGTTTTGTACGAGACAAAGAAAATATTCACTCTGTCCTGAGTGGTGACAGCGACGTCGTGTTTACATTTGTAGATGTCATGTAGTTATTTATGTGACCAATCTTTCTGATGAGGCATCAATTATTAAGGCTTAATTGGCGGCTGTAATTATTGGCTGATAATAATTAATAATGATAATAATGAATGCTAACAAATACATAATTTACTATTGTTTTATATCACTAATGTAAAATTGACATTCTTCATTTACACTATTTAAAGTTTTACAGCCACTAAAAATCTATGTTAAGAAATGGTTCTACCAGAATAAGTCTGCAGTTGTACATGTTAATATGAAGTATACATACATATTCCCGTATATATACGTACTGTATGTATGCACATTTTAAATATAATACATCCTGCAGCTGTTTTTTTAACCCTTCTAACGTGTTTAATGAAGTAGGCTAAAAACAAAAGGTCTGATTACTATGGGCTCATCTGTGAAGCAGTAAATTATTTATCAACCATTAATAAAGTTGCTAATTATCACTCATTAACTCTCAATAAATGGGGCCTTAACAAGTGGTACCATGTTCTTTATGTAATTCAAACAGATGTGTGTTGTTGATGTTCAGAGTCCGAACAAGGGAAAGCAAGTGTAACAAAATTTATGAAATTTGTTCAAACTGTGAAATTCTAATGTTCATGATGTGATGAGAAATGCTTCTTTTTTTCTTTTTTTTACCTTTCCATACATTCAGCAATTTTCCCATGTGGTTGAATGAAGTTGTTAAATAGATTGATTCAGGTATTGATAACATTTTATTTATTATAATTTATTATTGATTATATTATATATTTTATTATTTAAATTTTATACAGGGAATGCTCATGGTTCAAATGAGCTCCTAAAAAGATTTTGGTTCATTGATTCTATGCCTCAGTGTCATATGATCATGTTAACTAACAGCTCAAACCGCTTGGTCCTGGTTGGATAACAATTTTAATTTAAGGACTGAGCTGTTTAACAGGTAGAAGAGTTGGGATCATGTGAATAATTGATTAGTTGAAGGACAGAACAACAATCAGCAACTATTTTGATAATTGAATTATGTTTGAATTATGTTTTTTTAATAAAGATTGTGAAATAATTGCCAAATATAGTTCCAGGTTCTCATGTGAGATGGTGTTCTTTGAAATGAAATCTCCGGGTTTCAAGACATCTTTTGGACTGTGGGACATTAGCATTTTTCATTTTTGATATTTTATATGATTAATTGAAAAACTCTTGTTCCATTTTAACATGTTTCTTCAATGAAGACCCTAAAGGTTAATTTAATCAGTTAAACTGTTAGTGGGTTCAGTTTGTTTGGGGTTAGCTGTTTTGATTTTGACACAACTAACAGGACAAGTGGTTCATTTAATGGCTAAAGGGTTAGAGTTTTGCAGTTTTAAAGGTTTGTTTCTTCTCAGTGTTTTGGTTTCATACATGAATAAATCCATTCAGTGCAGTATCATGTCTCAATGACTCTTCATGTTAAGGCTTCAAGGATCTTATGAATGTTCTGTTGAACTTAGTGCAATGTCACGTTTTCCGTCTTTTCTTCTCAGTTTTGTTAAAATCTGGTGAACATAAACAAACCTTTTTACTTTGACATGTCTCTGTTTTGATCTTTCTACATTATGTAAAGGTTGGTAATTTCAGCCAGACCGTTACAGTGTTACAATAAAGATGGAATGATGAGAGGAATAATAACTCATCTGTTACTCGCCCTTTAAACCCTGATAAACTGATAATGAACAAGGCTGAGCAGGTTCCTCGTCTCACCCTCTGATTCTGACAATAAGTCACTACATTTATTCCTCACTTGATAAGATAATCATTGGACATGTGAGGAACCCTGGGTTAGGGTTAGGTTCTATTGTTAACTTGTTTCAATTAAATTAGTCTTAAATAACCTTGTTTACCTGATCCTGGTTGTTCTTCGTGTTTTTTTAATCTCTTTATTTAAGTTCAAAAGTTTTTAACATTAAATGTTGTTTTTGAAAGGAAACTCTTTTAGTTTAATATATAACCTCAGACAGGCTGTTA